TCATGACTCGTTCTCTTCTCCAATTTTCTGTTTTGTCATTGTTTTCTAATTCTTCCTACAGGTCAATCATCATCTAGACCTTTATTGACCTATCAAAAGGCCAAATACTGCCACTCAACATCACCTAGCACAATCTCATGGGCCCTTCAAGATAATTCCTGGATGTGATCCAGTACAAGCTCCAGAACTAGAACCAACTCCTTTAACGACGGCAGCTTCACGCATTGGTAAGCCCCCAGAAAGGTATATATGTTCCATGACAGCAACATTATCTTTATTCCTATCCTTCTTCCTTATAAACAGGCAATGAAGAATGAATGTTGGCAAAAGCTATTAAAAGTTGAACTTCTCGCCTAGAAGAAAATGAGACATGGGATATAGTGCCAGGTCCCCCATTTGTTTAAACCTTTAGGTAGAAAGTTTGTGTTCTCTATAAAACTGCATTCGGATGGCTCCATAGACGTTATAAGGCACGACAGTTGTGCTTGGAAATAAGCAAGAATATGGCCTATACTATGACGAGACTTTTGCTTCAATTGCCAAGATGACACTGGCGCACTATCCTTACTCTTGCTGATTCAAATCTTGGCCATTACATCAAATGGATGTCAAAAATGCATTCCTCCACGGTGACCTTAGGAGGAAGTTTACAATCACACTTCTTGGTGGTATGTCGAACCCTCTCCCCGAATCTGTTTGCAAATGAAACGCTCTTATATGATTGAAGCACGGCCCCAAGAGTATGGTTTGAAAAGTTTCTCGCTCCACTCTCTTGGTTTTTCTTTCAATCAAGTTAGTATGATCCATCAACTTCCTCCTTCAACGAACTCCTAAAGGCATCGTCATACTTTCTTGTTTATGTGGATGACATTGTGGTCACTAGTTCGATCAAGAGTTTATTTCTAGAATCAAACAAATGTTGCATTCAAATTTTCACATGAAAGAGCTAGGCTATCTCAATTATTTCTTGTGTTTAGAGGTGCATTACCATCCTGAAGGCATTTTCGTAAATCAGCATAAATATATTCAAGATTTGGTCCAACTAGCGGGACTCACCAATGCTACCCCTGTTGACACTCCAATGAAAGTTAATGTTAAATATAAACGACATGTAGGAGAGCTTCTTGACGATCCCACTTAATATCGAAAACTAGTTGGTAGCCGTGATATTTCTTTTATTATACACACTATTAGTAAGTTCATGCAATCTCCACAACACTTCCATTTTTCAGTAGTGCAGCGTATCATTAAATATCTCCTTGGCACCTCAAGTTGTGGTTTATTCTTTCCTGGTAATTCATCTCTTCAACTCCAAGCTTATAGTGATGCTGATTAGGCTGGTTGTCCAGACACTAGGAGATCAACTACTGGCTGGTGTTATGTTCCTAGGGAATGCTCCTATTTCATGGAAATGTAAGAAACAAATTCAGTCTCAAAGTCATCCACTAAAGCAGAATATCGCGCAATGTCTGCTACTTGTTTTGAAATAATATGGCTACGTGGTCTTCTTACAAAGCTTGGATTGTCTCAAGCACAACCCACTCCAGTGCATGTTGATAACACTAGTGTCATACAGATTGCAGTAAATCCAGTTTACCATGAACGGACGAAACACATCGAGGTCGATTGTCACTCTATCCGAGAAGCGTATGATTGTAGAGTCATCAATCTACCACATGTCTCAACATATGTTCAAATAGTTGACATTTTCACTAAATCGTTACCACGCCAGCGTCACAATTTTCTACTTGGCAAATTGATGCTTATAGATTCACCAACACTAGTTTGAGGGGGGATGTCAACAGAATAAATGACAAAAGATATGCAATTATATATTTGTTTGTAACGATTATTCTCTTAATTAGGATGATTAGCTGTAGTAAATGTATATATGGAAGTTTAGCTTATTTAGTGGGTTGAAAATCAGCTTCACAGATTGTAATCATTTGTATTTATATGAAAATTCTCTAGCAAGAGCAGAGACAGTTTTTTAGCTCAATCTTCTCCGAGTTTAACACACCAATCAACCTCAGCAACATTTCAACCACGTTGCATGCTTTTTTTTGTCTCGTTTTGAATGATAGCTGAGAGATAATATTGGTTTTCACAAAATATCAATGCAAATCTCTTTCTCTCATGCTGTGTTCGTTTTAAATGATTCATTATTTTAAATGATTCATTGTTTACACAAGATTGAGAGCATGAATTTGTTATGATATTTTGTGTTCATTTACACTAAATTGAAGGCGATGGAGAGCGCATAAATGTGAAATAAGTCATTCATCCCATCTCATATTTTATGAAGAGATTTGTGAGTGACTTTAGTCATTTGAGAAAACTACCTTTAGTTTACCTATCACATGCAACACTACGTTTTTCATTTCATGCCTTTGTTTTTGCTTCAACCAATTATTGCTATGAGATATTCATACATTACAATTTAGTTTTCTTTGTTGCACAAAAGTATTGAACATTTTTTTTATAATAAATACATTAAGAAATTTTATGATAATCTTTATTTTTTACTCATTAAAACAGTTTTTAATGTATTACATCAATCAAATTCCTCACAATCTTTTATAAACTTTACTTTCAAATTTATTCTTAACCATTTCTAAATCTCTCTCTTTAAAAAAAACAACACACATCTTATTCTTAAATTATCTGAAATCCATTAATTTCCTTTCCTTTACATCCTCTCTTTCAAATAAATCTTCCATAAATCGATACAATATTGCATGCATCTCATAAATCTTCTCTCTTGCCTTAAAACAAATTCGTTCAAACAAATAATAGTATTCTCTCTAATCCGTCTTCACAATTTCACCGTTCAATATTACCATTGAAAAGAACATATAGCGTTAAAGTGCTAGGGAAAATATGAAAAAAGTATAGTTCAAACAAAAAGATTTTGGGTTAAATGAAAAACTTTTGATAAGAATACGGTAGAAGCTTCTGCACCCTCTCAAATGTCTTGCTCCATCCCATCAAAAGTTTCTTAATATTTTTTTCCGGAACAAGAGACAAGTGATTATCTTCTGAAAAAAATAAAAATCGAATTTATTTTAATATGTTTCGGAAAGTGAAATCTGAAATGATGGAATGTCAGGAGAAATTTGATAGCTGTNAGGCTGTGTTCTTTTTAAGGGATTTAAGGGAGATGATTTGGGGGAGATGATTTGAGTGGATTTGAGTGGATTTGAGGGTAATTTTTTTGTTGTTTTTTTGAGTGGATTTGAGGTTAATTGAGAGTGGATTTGGAAGGAAAGTTTGTGAGAATTAGTGTAGGATTTGATTGATGTGATTGATTTTAAAAATTAGTTTAATTGGTAGAAAATGTAGATTACCAAATTGCCCTTCTTATAAAAGTATTATAAAATGTTATTTTGTAATGTTATATTTAATTGTAAAAAAGTTTATAAAGAGATAAAAAATTATTAATAATTGTTTAAAATATTGTTTAAAAATTAAAAAAGTTATAATGTAGTAAAATAAATATATTTTAAAATGTTTAGGGAAATTTTAACATAACTTAAGATTTCAAAGTCACATACAAACCACAATAAAGACATTGAAGTCATGGAATACATTATCGGAAATACAAATATTCTTAATCATCTAAACGGTGAAGAATCGAGTTCACATTTTGATTAAGGTTAGCAAATTGGCGGTTCATGTCTAGGGAAAGGTTTGCCAAGTTATCTTCAATACGTTGTACCCGCACCTGCATTTGTTCCATACCCTGCATCCTATGTCTCAAGTCTTGTACTCCATCCCACATTTGAGTTATCATGTTAGCATTTGATAGAGGTGGAGGAGGCTGCACAGGGTTTTGATGAGGGTGTGGTTGGTCTTCTTCTTCATCATCATCCAGATCGTGTTGCCAAGCACCGTTGACATAAACAATTTTCATCCTCTTCAAAGAATTGATAGAAAAGTGATGTCGGGACCCTATTTGAGTGCTGGAATCGGCTGAGACGTCAACTCCACAATATTGCATGATGTGTGTGATAAGTACACCGTATGGGAGGGCTGTGTCACTGACCTTGCATTTAAGCATATGCTGCATGATGTGATGAGGCCAATTGATAGGTATATTATTTTTCAGCACCCATATCATAAAAATATCTTCGTGCAATAACCTGGCATAATTCCCTGGTCGTGGAGTCAACATATGCACAATAATATAATGGAGAAGCCGATCATTGATATTCAAACAACCAACGGTTAAAACACCTTGACCACCCTCCAAATCTGGTATAACCATAGTAGCTAATGCCATGTCGCGGTCATATGGAAAATCGTCTGGGATATTTGAGTAACATAATTTCTGACCGTCGTACTTCAAGTTAGCTACAGTCAACCAATCAGCAGGTTTGAATCTAATTTTTCTCCTGTTGACCTCAGTGAGCAAATATCCATTTGCAGATATCTTAAGATTTGAATAAAATACTTTGATTAAATCCGGATAGTAGGGTCCCTCTAATGTCAGAAATTGGCTCAACCCTTGAAAAAGAAGCTGTTGTTGGAAAAATAACCCTGAACCGGTGAATGAATCAAAATTCATTATCTTTGGAGGAATTACACTTCTTGTATAGAAATCAGCTGCATAGTTCTCCATTTGATGACTGTGAGTGAAAAAACGCCGCTGATCTAATTGTTCCTCTACAGATGGTCTAACATGGGGTGCATCTTCTGCCTCATTGACAGTTTCTTTTCCCTTACGGGTTCTTTTTGACCTTCTTGTTGATGATGATGCCATCTGAGAAATTGTTCAACAACAAGCTATTTATTAAAACAACAAAAAAGGATATTATAACACATTAGTTCTATATAACGATAAAATCAAGAAATGATACATATTCAACCAAATCATTACATCGTTAACATAATAGAAGTAAAATATTACATCCACCATAGAAATATAATAAGTCATAATTAAATCACTAATACAGAATTGCGTCCTTATACTAATAGTAGTAAGTCATATATGGAAATTCTTAACAGTCACCGCCCGATATCATTTTACATAATTTGTTCCACCGCTTATGTGGTGGCAATCCCATCAACCTCTTCGTGCATGTCGGGTTTCTACATAAGAAATCATAGCACTGCTCTAGCAAATTATCGTCACTGATGTTCATAGCAGTCAACATTTCATAAATGTCCGCCTCAGTATATGTGTAATTGGGGGTGCAACGAAGAATCTCGGTTTGGGAACGTAGTATTTCATTTCTGTCCTGCATCGCTGATACTTGACGCACGGCGGCATCAGAAATTACACCAAAATGTACATTTGATGAGCTTAGTACATTTGCAAACCCATCCAGACTAGTCGTCAACTTATCAAATTGGGTATCAATAGAATCCACCATAGGTGCCTTCCTTTTCGAGCCTCGTGAGGAAGAAGTCCCACCAGATGGGACGGAAGGCACATATTGAGTCTGTCCCGGACTATATTCATCAACAGATGGAGGAGGCGATGGTGGAGTTGGGTCTCTGTACCCTATCCACTGAGACTGTTCTGGAATGTACTCAATATTTTGATTCAAATCAACACTTACATGAGGACCAACACGTTGTCTTCGAGCTTGACGAGCAGTTCGAACACCACTCCCAGTAGCTCGATCAGCTGCCCATAACTCGACCATTAAATCGTAGTGTTTTATACTGTTAACTCTCCACTTCGCCGCAGCGGGCCGTGACTGCAACAACAAAGACAATAAACACACTGCTTCATATTAAGTATATTAAGGATCCACATAAAAAATAAGTATTTTTATAAATACCTGAATCAGGTCAAGCCATACTTCGTCCTTTGCATGAAATGTCATACTTACTGGATTCCAAGCAAATCCACTCAATCCAGAGAACAAGTCATGCACCTCACGCCATTTATCCTTTAACACTTTCTGACGATTTTTTACATTATTTTTTGTAACTGCGACATACCCAGCGCTTTGAAGATGATCAACTATGTTAGTATATGCTTGGGTTGTCCAGCTTCCATCAACCCTATTACCCATTCTTGATTCCTCGATCATGCAGTGTAGTAGACGTGCGTCCATGTCCTCAGTCCATTTCATGAACTCTCTAGTAGGACCAGAGGACGGAATGGCGGGTGCCTTACCCCTATTCATTTTATACTTAAAGAGTCAAGAAATATTTATTAAGTTAACATAAAACATCCTTAATAATATGTTCTTCTCATACAGATAAAAATAAGTTAAAATAGAATACAATCAAATACAATAACTACGATGCTTGGTAATCACGTCACATTTGATCAGCTATACAATCCCTAATACTACTACCAATCCTATGGTCCTCTTCTCTAACTTGAGATGAAGTCCCATCATGTTCTTCCCTTTCATTCAACTCGTTATCAACTTCATCGAGTAAGGAGTCATCGTTATCCACGCCCCGAAGGAAGTTGTGTAATATACAACAAGCTAGTATGATATTAGTCATCGTCTCTAATCCATAGTGTGGTTCAGTGCCACTTCCAATGATAGGGAATCTTTTTTTCAACACACCAAAAGTTCTTTCAATTACGTTTCTCAACGACGAGTGCCGATGATTAAACAACTCCCGTGCATTCTGTGGTCCTCTGCGTGTATATTCTTTTAAGTGATATCTGACGCCTCTATATGGAGTCAAAATTGTGCTTTTCAACATGAAACCTGCATCACCCAGGTAGTATTTTCCTACAATTTTCTAGATACAAAGGTAATTAGTCACTACTAAATAATTTCATGGACATCGATTGTTTACACACTGACCTTGGGGGATAACCAACGGATCATC